AATTAAAATAAATGTGTAAAAAACAAGTAAAAAATGTAAGGCATGGTAAGAGTGTTTTTGGAGGTCATCTATAATCTTAGGAAGATGTTTGAAATCCAAGAAATTGAGCCCTTGCCTTAAAACTTCAAATTTGCTCAATGCATAATTCTTGAAAATTCTCAAGTTTTCCCAACTTGGGCAAGCCATAACTTGCTCAATTTTTATATCATGATGATGATATTGGACTTTTTGGAAAGCACAAGATGTCTAATTCAATCCCTATTTTGATTAATTTTGTATTTGAATATTTTATCTTGATGTAAAAGGTCTTGGCAAAAAGTGGCTTTTGTTGACTTTCTGAAAATGACCTGTAATGTTTGAACTTGTATCTTTCAAATGGTGCATTTCTTAGACTTGAGGGCTGAAGAGAAGTTGTAGGAAATGAGATTATCTTCAATATGAGTTTTTTCTGGGGAAACATGGATGAAGTATGTGAAAGTTATGCCTGGTCAAAGTTTGGTTGACTTTTCCTATAGAAATCCTAATTTAGCAATTTTTGACTTTTGATGAATTAGGAGCATTTCTTGAGGAATCGTGATCAACCCTTGATCAAATGATGGACATCACCTCAAAATACTGATGTTAACCAAAAATCGTGAAGTTTGACTATACATGGGCCACAATTGACTTTTGATCTGGTACAGTTGATTTTCAAGCATCTGAGCAATTAACTGGGCAAACTTGTAGTGCAAGGTATGAAACTTGTCATGGACAATCTTGAAGGAATAATAGGACCATGGAAAACATTTTGGACCTTTGGATCTCACACATCCTCGTGAAAAGTGAAACCCTAGCTAGAGGTTCATTGCTTACGAGGAGAATTTGTCTGATCAATTCTTGGTCAACCTTGAGCAATTGAGGATCTCTAGGAGCATGCTTTGAGTAAAAATGGGAGGGAAAATTTTGGGGTACAATAGATGGTGTTGCATTTACTTTTGAAATTGGAGGTAAGGTTTATACCTTTACAAAAGAAATATGGAAATCTCTCTTCGACATTACCATAGGAAATGAGTCGAGAATTAGAGATACAAGTTATCATTCGAACTTCAAGTGGATAATGCACTCAAATGAACAGTTGAAGGAATTGCATGATAATGCCAATAATGCTCCAATCACTACAAAATGTATCAAAAGATTGCCTCACATTTTACATTGGTTTGTTTCTCATATTTTGCGTCCCAAGAGTGGTGGCTTCTCACGAGTTGATAATTCTAAAATATTCCTTTTGTATGTTCTGCTCAACAACATCAGTATCAACTGGCCTTATTACTTCGTGACTAGAATGTTTGCCATCAAGGAGTGTAACAAGGGGACTTCTTTTTGTTATTCATTAATGATTTCCAAAATTCTAAATTTCTTCAATATTGGTTTTCCCAATCTTATGATGACTTATCCATGTCCTATTTTGGAATTCACCAAAAGAACAATGAGTAACTTGAGGTATTATTGGGATGATACTAGGGAGGTATACTACTATAAAACTCTCCAAACAAAAAGAAGAATTTACAATTATGGTGATCCTGCTGAGTATGCATATGGTGAAGATAAAGAGAATGATGATGGTCCTGAAGACATCACTGGAGTTATACAAAGTGATATTCCAATGGCTGATATAAACTATGAAGAAGATATAATATGGTTGAACGCAAATGTTGCTCAACAACACAACAATGAGCAGCCTTGGAATGACAATTGGCAACAAAATTGTTGGACTGCCCAAGGACATGGATACACTAGAGATGGAGGAAATTCCTATGACTATGGTTCTAATAGTAATATGGATAACATCTATGAAGTTCTCACACTACTTAGAAGCATGCAAATTCAGCAAGATCTTTGCTATAATGAAACTGTGGCATGGCGCAATGCTCAAGTGGAGTGGCGTAATGAATTTCAAACATATCAAGAGGAGCAATTCAGAATGTTGAATGCTAGTATGGACAGTCATGAATCAAATCTGGAGCTATTGTCTTCTAGAGCCGATGCACAATTACAATCTCTTCATGAAGAAATTCTGAAGTCAGATGAAGTCTTGCAAGGAAAACTCAACAGTCTACACACAATGTCCGTGCACCAAGGTGATGATGTTGTTTCGTTTTATGATGAAATTCTTAGAAAGGGAAGGACTTATCAAAGACATGGTGGTGGTGGTGGTTCACGAGATCATTAGTACATGTCATCCAAATGTGTTAATTTGCATTAGTTGTCATTTTCTTCATTTTCATATCATGGACAATATTGTGTTTTGTTTTAATTTCTTGTATTTTGAATTATGAGCTTGAATAATGTTTTGCTTTTTTGAATACTTTTGACTTATTTCTTTTTATATAGCTTATTTGCAAAATAGCTTTTATTTGATATATTAGTTTTGTTTGTTAATTAAGTTGAAGAATATGATAATTCTCATAGTATTGTTTGTTTCTTTTTGATGTTGTCAAAGGGAGAGAAGATACATACATGATATGATCAAGAGTGAAAGCACATATTCAGGGGGATCATTAAAAAACAAGTGAAAGGCATAGGCATATCATCAAATTTTCGCCATCATCAAAAAGGGGGAGTTTGTGAGTGAAATCTCTCTTTCAATGGTTTTGCATGATGTCAAAAATGCATGTGTCTCTCTAAATGGCCTCTTAGATTATTTGATGTATTAGGCTACTTGAAAATAGTTAAGAAGTCATCACAATGTATGGTCAATCATTTGTGTCCTTAAAACTAAGCCTTTTGAGTCATTTTTCGTTGCATGTATTGACACATATGAGTTTTAGGTTGACACATGTAACTCAAATTAAAGCCTGTAAGCTTCTGTAAGTCACAGGTCAACACATGCATCATACAGGTTGACACATACTGAAAGATTTCTAAAATTGCAGAAATTCTTATTTTATGTGTCGACACATCCATATTTCAGGTCGACACATTTACTCACGTTTTAAAGTCTGTAGCTACTGACTTGCTCAGGTCGATACATAGAGTCCTTCAGATCGACACATGCAGCTTTTTTATACAGTATGTGTTGACACATACGATTTTGACGTCAACACATAAAATTTGTTTTAGTCAAATTTTATTTTCTTTTATTCCGAATTTGTCCTTTTTTCCCTAAACTTTTCCAAATTATAAACACTCATTCATGCATCATTTCTAACTTGATGATACCATAAAATTAGTCTACTTTTCTCTTCATCTTCAACCTTCTAATCTATGCATACACACCAATATTACATTGTGATGATGTTTCGTCGGGGTGCCATCTATACAAAGAATTGCAGATTTCAATTGGTTTGGGTTGAGTTCTTGTAAGGGTCTTCATCCGGAAAAATTATCAGGTTTGTCCTCCAACATCATTTGTTGAATTGGGGTTTTTCGTACAAGATCTTGCGAGAAGGAATCGTCCATGTGAAAAATCTCTTGGAGTGTTTGAAATCTTTTCAAGGAACCTTAGAGTGGTTGAAATATTTTTAAGGAAGTAGCAAGAATTAGATGATAGAATCGGTGATCTTGTGTTGATAGTTTGCAATCGGATTTATTCGAAAAATCCCTTAGAGTGTTTGAAATATTTGCAAAAAACATTCGGGTGTTTGAAATCCTGTTAAGGAAGTAGCTTAAGCGGTGAATAGGTTGCATCTATCGGTTGATTTGATCTTTCTTAAGATCAAAGGTTGGAAGAATGAGCATCAACACCAAATTGGAGAATTTTGTATTGTTGTTTCTAACTCTTTCGTTGTATTAAATATTTTGCATATAAGAATTATCCTAATTCCATTGGAATTAGGTGCAGACGTACCCACATGCTAGGACGACAGTGGGAAACTGTGTAGACAAATTCCTTGTATGTTTTTACTTTTCCGCTTTTACTCGCTTTCAATTTCATCAATCTTTTTATCAAATAGCATTATGATAGTAATTGAATTGTAAGAATTTTTCTCTCTAAATCTGTTTTTGAAATAGGTGTGGATATAGCTTATAATCAATTTTGATTATAAGTGGTTTTGTATATCAACACTACTCAAAGAGAAATTTTGAAAATTCACTTGTACGTCAAGTGTTTGATAAAACAATCAAGTTAGTTCTTTGATTATTTAGCCTTGAAAATAACATTGCAAAGTGATTGTGTTCAAACAATAAATAAGTGGATTGTTGATTTGAATTTGTATCAATCTATTACTCAATTTTATCTCATAGATTTACCTTTCATAATTTGTATATCCCAGTTTTCAATTGTTTTTTTATACGACTTATCCAATTAATTGCTTTTGCATCAAAGTTGTGAAAACAAATTAATTTTTAAAATTTTGATCTAGAAATATTTTTTGCGCCTCTATTCACCCCCTCTAGACACGCATTGTCATCTAACACCTTCTCTATCATATCGAAAGCTTGTTTTATCATGTCATGATCTTATTTCATAGTTCATCGATCATTCTAATTCTACAACAAAACAACATCATATCTCCTAAATATTTTACTTTTATGAGAGGTAGCCTAGACTATACCTCAATAAAAATATACTAAGGTAAATATTTCTTTTGGTTTCGCAAAGGAGGACAAACACTAAAGATCAACAGAAAAACTAAAATCATTGGAAAAAAAACTAAATGTGGCATAACCATTCATCAAAGCCACACACAAAAAAACAATAATAATGTCTAATATGTAAAGATACTACATTGTTAAAACAAACAAAAAATTGTCAAGAGAATCAAGTATTTGAATAAATTCTAAAATCTTAAAACATGATTAAATATTGGCATCAAACATATCAAGTTTCAAATTTGATATTAAAAGCTGAAAATAGTTCATATTAATGTTTTGAATCTATTTCCATAAAAAAGAACATGAGAAGTAGCAAAATTCAATCATAGAAAATAACAAGTAATAAGATCTCATTTTCAATACAGAGTACATTTACATATCACAAATCCAAACTTCTTCGCATCAACCTCGTCCGCCACAGTCCGTCAAAGTGGACGGTAGGGCCGATGGCCTAAATCTGTCAAGTTTGTCACAAGATCATGGCACCTTGTCAAAAGGCCCACCATCTTCTTTGATATATCAGCGGTAGTTGTGGAGGAAGACAAATCCGATTTTATAAAATTGGTAGTATTTCTTGATGCCATATCGAAATCATGCAAATAATCTGGTGTATTTTTAGCAATCTGAGAAGGAAATGGAAGAATAGGCAAAGATGGTTGAGAATTGACCTTTTGAACATTCTTAGTGTTAAAATCCATAGCAACACTAGAATGTGAACAGCCATCAACTAATTGCTCTCTCCTTCTACTTTCTTCGCTGGCTAACAAGAATTTTACACGTTGCGACCCTTGATCACTGTGTCGGTTACCAGTTTTCCGGCCTAATTTATTACCAGTAGATTTCTTCAGGATGGATTTGATCTGGTTTATCGGCTGTGAAAGATGTTGTGGTGCAGGATCCTTAATGTGCTTTGTTTCACTGGCATGATCAATGTCTTCACTAGCCTTAGCAACTTCAGGGATATTATGCGAAGAACGTTCCAATGCCCTGAGGAAATACCTCACACCAGCAATGCCGAATAAGGATTGATTTGCTACAGAAAATTTATATGCTTCTTCTGCATCGTCCTTCTGCATGAAAACAACTCGACAAGCTGACAAATTTGAAAAGACGCGGAGACTTGATTTGTGTATACGCCCAAAACGACCAAACCTTGCCTTCAACTCTGCAATAGATGGAAGAGGTGCCATAGGAGGAAAATAGATGGCCAGCTCAGTCGGTTCAAACAGGTTAGTTAGCTGCTTAACAATATCAGGTGGAGCCTGGGTGGCTGGCTTCTTCTCTGCATCCGGTGCCTTTAACTCCTTGATTTTCTTCAATCTCTTTGCATTAATTTCTTCTTCGGGGTCAGTGAGAGCCCTTTTTCGCGCAACTTTGCTTGAGTCATCAGGCTGAATAATTTGTTTTACAGGCTTAACTATCGGTGAAGCACTAGCATGATCATTAGTAGCATGAACTTCAGGCACTGCATTCTTTGTTGGAGGTGATGATAAAACCAAACTTTTCTGGTAAACATGAGATCTGAACTGCAAAAAGAACTTGATAGCAAATGAAGGCATTCCTCCATTAATACCATGAAAATGATCTAAAGCAATCGCTTTCAATTCATTAAGAAGCTTTCTACACACACGCAGCTGCTTACTGGCCTTAAGATCCACCTTGGTTGAGTCATGTACAGATTTTTCAGAAGTTGAAGGCTTCTTCTCTACATGGTCTAACGTAGGTGGTAAATTTGAACTCTTTCTTTTTTTTATAACAGCAGAAGTCTCGGAATTCAAATCATCCGCAGATCGCTTTTGAACATTTATCTTCTTCGGCACACCATCAACAAGAACTCTATGATTCTTTAATTCATCAACTGTAATCAGAAGTTCGTCACGAGGCCTTGATAGTATTGTATTTCCACCATGTTTAACATCAGTGCAAGTTTTGCTTTCTAGATGGTTACGATGAGATGTCTCATCAATTAAGCTTGGCAATGCCATAACCACAAGCCTTTTATTAGTAACAGCAATAGGTTCAAATCTCTTGGTTTTTTCTTTTGAAGATTCTTTTTCCTTCTCGTGAAGATGATGCTTTGCATCTAAAGTAATTTCTTCTGATACAAAACCACTGTCATTTGGTTGAACATTATCTTCAAAAGCTACTTTGGATTTTATAGCTGAAGCTGCAGAACCTGCATCTAGTATTTCTTCCTTCACAAATGTGAATTGGTAAGAGCCACTGGGTTCATCTTGATGCTTAGAAATACACTTATGCTTCATGACATTGTCCTTAGCCTTAACAGATTTAGAAGTGTTCTCAGCACCCAAAGTTTCTGTCTCGGCCACTGGATGATTCGAAGAAACTACTGAACAAAGCAAAATAACCATAACCATCAAGAGAAAAAAAAGGAAATGTGAATAAACTAGAATGATTAATATGCATATTTATAAACTATTTCTCAACTTCATATCCATAGGTGTCACTTCTATATTTACTTTAGTGTTCGGTATGAACAAGTAAAATTATAAATTTTTGAATTTTAACTTTATTTTTTTCGGGAACACTAAAACTGCTATTAAGTTTCTTTGAATCTTCTTTAATATTTTTACAATTTTTGTTCTAAATAGCTAAATCTATAATTTTAAATATAGTTAATTTCAAACTTTTTTTTTTAAAATTACTTCAAATACAATATTTAAAGGATGCTTGAAATGTAATCGAGGATTATCTTTAATATTATTAATTTAAAATTTTGATCTTCAATTAAAAAAATTAAATCTAAAATTTTGAACATAAATATAAATCAATGATGAATTTTAATATATATTACATCTAACTCGATAATTAATATTAAGCTTATATAAGATATAATATACCTCCAAATTTATTACAAGAAAATTAAATTAAATTTTCAAATTTTTAATTTATTTTCAATTTTATATTTTGTTAATTAATTTTTGATAATTACCATGCTTCATATTTCAACATAAAAAAAAAATATTTTATTTAAATAAAAATGGATTCTTTTTAATTACCACAATTTATATTTAATAGGTGAATTTATCGTTTGTTTTGTTACAATATTTTATCATAGTTAAGTTCAAATTTTTAGTATAATTTTATAAGAATTAAACTAACTAATTAATTTTATATATTTAGAATTTAATTTTTAATACAAAATAAATATAAATTAATTAATTTCTATAATATTTAATATATTTAAAAATAAAACTTTCTATTATAAATGATTACAATAACATATGAATTTTAATGCATAATAAATATAAGTTAATTTAAACAATTTATAAATAAATATAAAATTAATAATTTTTAATGCATAATAAATATAAACTAATATAAATTAATTTTTAAATTTTAATTATTTTTTACAATTACAAATAACTTTTAATTTATAGTAAATATAAATTAATTTCTATTATATTTAATATATTTCAAAATAAAACTTAAACATAACTGAAAAGTAAAATTTTATTTAGATTCCAGTTAATATAATTTATGTGGAAATTTAAAAACATTGATGTTTATCTTAAGATATTGTATATCAAATTCATGATAACATTTGTAACTTAATTTTTAATTTAAAACTATCTATACTACATCTATTTTTATACCCAATTTTTTCTTTATTTTTTTGGTATATCTTTTAATATTCAATTTCTATTTCACATAATTTAGTTAAAATTTTATACGTCGTTTAAATCTTTGAATTTTATCCTTAAATTAAACTCTTTTAATCATAATTTAATCAGTTTTATTTAATTTGATAAATAAATTCAATCGTAGTTTTAAATTTTAATAAAATTAAGATCTAATTGTCAATCAACCCTAATCCTTGAATAATCTAAGAGAACAAATTTAAATTAATCCTAATTCAATTTTAAATTTTAAATAAATTTATATTACATTTAACTTATATTTTATTGCTTATTCAATACTTCCATCATCCTAAAATAATTGTCAAAAAAAATTTATTCAAAAATATTTGTCACTTTTGATTTTTCAACATAATTTTATATTTAATCTTTCAATTATATTTTCTAATAAATATTTTTAATTTATTGTTTTCTCATTTAACTTTAATGTTAATTTGAATATACAAATAATTATTTAGAATAATTTAATAAAGTCATTATTTTTTCTCTTTTAATTTTTTTTTCTTTAATTTGTGTAAAATAGTCATTTGAGACAAATAATATAGGATGGAGGGAATATAATATATTTATTGCTTATTAAATATAATTTTAAATATATTTAATTTTTTATTCAAAATATAATTTTAAATTTAACTTAGAATTTAATATGTCTGTATCCAACTAGATTTTTATTGCTTGTTCAATACAATATGTTTTAAAAAATTCCACGTTGGCAATAGTTTTAATTAAATATTTAAAAAATTATGGAAAGAAAGCTAGGGTTTAAAATTAAGGGAGACGAAATTTTGTGAATCGATGAACGATAGATTTTGAAAATTTCTTTCCTAGATTTTCATATATAGTGACCTCTTACTGTTAAAATTACGGGATGAAGAAAAGAAATTGAATCTTCGCGAGCACCTCATGTAGCATAAAATCGTGAAGAAACCAAAGAAGGATGAATGAATTTGATATGGTATATTTATAGGAGGGTAAAAGTTATGTTAGATCTTCAGCAGAAAAATTCAAACCAACTAAAGTGTTGGTTATATTTTCAGGATTATTAAATTAAATAGTGGACCCGACCAAACTAAACCAATAAAATATAGGACAAATTCTGTTCCACCACTTTACCTTTAAAGTAATATATTCTAATTTTTCTTAATACTAAAAATATTTTATCTCATTTTTTAAACTAAAGGTGTGTTTGTTTCAAAGTTATAAAAATTATTTTTGAAAATGTGATAATGAGAATGTAATATTCTTATGTTTTATTTAAATTTTAAAAAATTATTTTAAGAAATTTTTTATTTCAAAAAATATTATTTATTCATGGATTCTCTATTGTTAGAAATAAATCCAACTAACTCTAACTTTTCATTATCACTCCTATTTACTATTATTTTTTATTTTTTTATAATTTTAAATTAAACAAATTTTATAATTATTCTTAGAAAGATAAAATCTTATCAGGAATAATATTCTCAAGAATAATAATCTCAAAAATATCATTTCAAAGAATAAAATTTTCAATCATGAATGAAAAAAAATTCTCACGGTAGAAAAATTGGGTATGGTGAATTAAAAAATTCGGTTGTCAATCAAAAAAACTTGATAAGCAATTCAAAAAATCACGTGTGCATTTATATCGGCATATTAAATTTTTTTCCCTATTTTTTCAAAAAAAAATCCAGAAGTGAAACAAAAATAAATAAATAAATAACCTTATCTTCATCGGAAATTTTCAAAACTACATGCGTTTATCGGCATTTATCAGCATTTTTTAAATGATCGGTATGTATGTATGCTTCTTCACTAGCAATTTAAAAAATACCAACAATAAAAATGCAGGATACCACATTTTAAAAAAAATATCAATAAAAATACATGTAAAAAAATTAAATTTTACCTAATATTTCAAAAAAGTCAATAAAAAAATATGATTTTGGTGAAAAATCCTATATAAATTCAAAATTGTCAATATAAATGTATAACTGTAATAGAAAAAAAAAACACTTATTTGTAAAAAAGAAATTGGTAGAAACTTTAAAAAATGAGGTAAAAATTTAAGGTTTTTCAAAATCTCTAAAAAAAATAACAATTTAAATAGTAAAAATTATGCGAAAGTATTATAATAAAAATCCTACTATTAGACGTGCCCGGTAGAAAAAAATGTCAGAATAAATTATTTTAAAAATGCAAGGTTTTAAAAAGAATAAAATATATTTTATCTATTATCTTTAGATCGTGGTTCTTATTTATCTTGTAATCAAAGAAGATTAATATTGATCCTTTCATTTAACTAACTCTATGTTGTCGAACAAAATTAGGATTCTCCCTATTACCTTTGCAATTATTTTTTTTTTGTAAGATTCTTCCCCATTTTTCCTCTTTATTTTTGCTCCACTCTCAATATTTCATTTATCTATGTAGCATAATGGATACCAAATTAAGGGTTTTGATCATCATTCTCCTTCCAAAATTTAGGTACCTTCCTTTTATGATATTACTATTCCTTATTTTCCAACAATTTGAATTTGAATTTAAACTCTAATTTTTAATTTCTCACAATTTCTCACCTAAATTGAATATTGAAAAGAGTTTGATCCTATATCTAAAAAATGGAGGCAACAAATTGTTTACAATCACGAAAGAGATTGAGAAGGGATAAATTATTTGGCCTAAAATGGAAATGATATGTGATGAAAATAAGAGTGGAGAGCATCAGGAAGAAGCAACTCGCCCAAAGCTAACATAGTAAGGTGGTCATCCAAAAAAATGTTTGATGTCGTTGGATTGGGCTTATGCCAAAAACTAACGCGTGTCTCATGTAACACACGCAATTTTTTAGGTGATTTAGGAGAAATAGTTGGGGAATGTGAGAAGGGAAAAATTGTTTCTCTCACGATTGAGGGATGACTTTGTCTCTTCAGCTCCTAGCTTTCAAGAGGAGTGGGAAACCATCTCCTAGCTTTTTAGCTCATGTCTAGATAATCCTTTATAAATGTCTTGATCTGAGGATAGAAATAAAGGATCGCGAAATTTCAATAGACATGCGCTGAGAAAGAGTCTCTCACGATTCATGTGTGAGTAGGCTTTCACAATTTCTACTCACCCTAAGCACGCCAGAAACACTCAGATGTGAGGTGGTCACCCTTATTGCACTTTAGCAAGCATGTGGATCATTGGCAATCCACTGAAGTCACGTAGCATAGCCTCTTGCATCCTCGAGAGTAGGCTTTTATCTTATATTGTACATTTAACAAGTATAATTGGCACAAATGGAGGCAACAAATTGTTTACAATCACGAAAGAGATTGAGAAGGGATAAATTATTTGGCCTAAAATGGAAATCATATGTGATGAAAATAAGAGTGGAGAGCATCAGGAAGAAGCAACTCGCCCAAAGCTAACATAGTAAGGTGGTCATCCAAAAAAATGTTTGATGTCGTTGGATTGGGCTTATGCCCAAAACTAACGCGTGTCTCATGTAACACACGCAATTTTTTAGGTGATTTAGGAGAAATAGTTGGGGAATGTGAGAAGGGAAAAATTGTTTCTCTCACGATTGAGGGATGACTTTGTCTCTTCAGCTCCTAGCTTTCAGGAGGAGTGGGAAACCATCTCCTAGCTTTTTAGCTCATGTCTAGATAATCCTTTATAAATGTCTTGATCCGAGGATAGAAATAAAGGATCGCGAAATTTCAATAGA